AAAGCAGAAAAAAGAAGGAACATTTCTCCCCTCATTTTAGGAGATCAACATTGTGCTAATACTAAAACTGGATAAAGATAATAGAAGAGAAAACTATGAACATAAATAAAAATTTGTTTAACAAAACAAACTATTAGAAATCAGATCTGCCAGTATGTAGTAAGTGGTTTTATTATAGTGATGGCAGTGTTGGTTCAGCATTGGAAGATCCACCCCCATAAGTCATCATTTTAACAAAGGAAAAGAAAAAGCCATATGATCCTATCGGTAGTTGCAGAAAAAGTATTGGACTAAATTCTACAGCTGTTTATGATACAAGCTATCAGGAGACTAGAAGTAGAACAGAACCTTCTCAACAGGTTATAGACATGTACTCCATACTTCCAGCAAAAACACCTTTATGAATTCTCCTATGTATTTTATGAATTAATGCCCAAGTTTGAGTAAATATTCCATTGTCTGGATGTATGGCAGTTCATCCATTCACCAAGTAAAGTTGCTTCCAAGTTTTGGCAATAATGAAGAAAGCTTCTATAAATATTTGTGTGCATGTTCTTGTGGGGACATAAGTTTTTCTCCTTCATTTGGGTAAATACCAAGGAATACATTTGCTGGACATATGGTAAGAGTATTGTGTTAGTCAGCTTTCTGTCACTGTGACAAAATACCTGAGAAAAACAACTTAAAAGAGGAAAGATTTACTTTGGCTCATGGTTCAGTGTTTTCAGTCTGTGGTTGGCTGGCTCCATTGTTTCTGGGCCTTTGGTGAGGCAGTACATCGTGGTGGAAGGGCATGGCAGACCAAAGCTGTTCACTTCATGGTGGCTGAAAGCAGAGTAAGGAAGGGGCTGAGACATATATGGCTCCCCCGGGTGTGAGCCCAGTGATCTGCTTCTGGCAACTAGGCCCTGTCTCCTGGTTTCCACCACTTCCCAATAGTCCATTCAGCTGTGAACCCATCAATGAAATCAGAGTCCTCCTGGTCCAGTCCCAAACCCCATCTCTGAACACAGGTGCACTGGGGATCAAACCTCCCACACAGGAGCCTTTGGGGACCATTTGAGATCCAACCCATAACAGTATGTTTAGTTTTGGGAGAAATAATCCTGACTTTTTTGCTTTAATTTTAAAATATATATGAATCTTACCTACCAAGAATTTGCTTTGCTGAATGGATAGTATTAGGTATCCATTATTTAAATTTTTACTTTTTACAAAAGGTAATCTGTTGTCTCAGTGTCATTTTTTGAACAGTCCATATTTTCTTTTTTAATTTGTGGCTTCTATCACATAATAAATTTCCATTTATATTTGGCTCCCCTCCTGGACTTTCCATTTGCTTTTGCTGAAGAATTAACATGTAGGATACACCATAAAATTAAAATTAAAATGTTAACTACAGTGGGATATAAGGAATAGGGTGGGAAGGAGTAATAGAAACTAAGTTTCACTAAATATACTTTGTTTTTAGATGTGTCATTGGAAATCAGGAAAGATTTTACAGAATTATAAAATTGAAAAATCCTAAAAATGTAAAATAAAGTTAAATGTACTGGTTATTTTGCTCTGGGATGTTAGTATTTTTGTTCTGAGATTATTATGAGTATAATGTAGGGTAAATCAAATAAGTTCCTTTGTGATACTCTATTTGTATCATTTTTGGTATCCTCGAATTGAGATTCTCAGCTTGGTAAAAAGGAGGTATGGATATGAGATAAAAGAGTGTCATAACCCAGTAGATTTAAATCAAATTAGAAGTATGTCAGAATATATCAGTATAGACTCATGTAATTCATCATATCAATAAGCTGAAGAAAAAGTCACAAGATGATCTCAATCCATGCAGTGAACAAAATTCAATACCCATTTACGAAAAAACTCAGCAAACTGGAAGTCAGAAAATGGGCAAATGATATGAAATACATATGGTAATACATATGGAAATACATGTGGCAAATACATATGGTAAATAAGCACATGAAAAGATGTTCAACATCATTAGCCTTTCAGAAAATAATTTAAACACACAATAAAATATCAAAATGACTAAAATAAAAAATAGTGACCACACCAAATGCTGATGAAGATGTGGAGAAATTAACTCCTTTTCATTGCTGAGTAGTATCCATGGATGTTTAACTCCTTAAAGGACATCTATGTTGTGGATAAACACAACAATCTAGATGAATCTCTAGGAATCATGTCAGGTGAAAAAGGCAACCATAAAGGTTATATACTTATGATTCCATTTATATAATATTTTTTAAATGTTAAAATTCAGAAAGGAAGAACAAATTAGTAGGAACATATTAGTAGAAGCAGTGGGTGAGGGTATGGCTCTAAAAGAAGGAAAGATCTTCCTGATGGTGACAAAAAAGTTCTGTATCCTGACGGTATCAACATCAATATCCCAAATGTGATTTTTAAAAATTCTTTTTTTCTCTTGTTTTTTGTCAGGACCTGATTCTATTTTACGATGAGGATCCAAAGCCATCCTTGCCAATGATACCTTCTTCTGTTATCTCTCCAACTACATGCTTGTCAGATGGGGAAGTAGAAGTATCCATCCCCTGTGATGCAGGTAATTTGGCTAATGGATATGAAGTTAATTCAGAAACATGAATAAGAAACACAAGGCAGGAATTCTGCATAAATAAAGACTATTTTGTGAAATATAGCAACAGTTGACTTTTATTTAACATTGGTAATGAGGAATAAGGAGTAGTGTGGATAAATTCAACCCTCCCCTGGTCCTATACTCTTATATTCCCATTTGTTTTTTCTCTTTTACTTTTTTTTGTTATTTTGTTTCTGAAGTAATCACAACTCTTAACTTTTTTACAAAAGGTTGAAATGAAAAATTTATTTCACTTTTTTATTTTTATTAACTTCCTTTCAATAGATGTATGACTTCTTTCAAAAGCAGGCATTAAGCAAACATGTAAAAAGGCAAGAAACATATTGTCTGTCCCACAAATGGGTGAACCGTTTCTTGAATAATTAATAGTAGCACAGTATCAAAATTGTACATTGGCCTCCAGTAAATTACACTATTGAACAAGGTTCTACTGCTAGTCAAGATCTTTAGGATCTCTTAGTTGAGCCACTCTATCCTGTCCTTATTGTCCTCGAACTCTGATTACATGGTAAATTCTCTTGATTTTCTCAGAAAGTAGGGTGGAAGGTCTTACATTAAGATGAGAAGGGGATGTTCTCATTAGTATCATTCATCCCCTCCTGTATCTTTGTTTTTATATCCAGGTGTCCTTTCCCTTGTCACAGAGATGGCTCCTCATGTTTTGAGTTTCATCTCCCTCTTCTTGGACCATGGACCTCAGAATTCCCCCTCTGAAGGGTCACAGTATTCAAAATATAAAAGCTATAGTGTATTAGTATAGAATTTACTTTAAGTTCACATAAAATTTTTTATAAAGCCAGTTATGAGAACAGTGAGGATATTTTAATAAAGACAATAACAAGACAATAACAAGAATTGAGGGTTTTGGTGATATATGTATAAGGACAGCATTCATATGGATAGTTAGTAACAAATGGTTAGAATTTTTAAACAGTTTTCTTGATAGTCTTATAATGCACTTCAAGTAAACAGATCCCAAATCCAGAAGCTTGAAAGAACAGAAAGGAAAACTTTTGTATTTAACATTGCATAACATTTTTTCCCTCCTAACATTTTTAAAAATAGAGTTTCTTTTTGAGAGTTTTAGATTCACAGCAAAATTGAATGGAAACTACAGAGTTCCCATATGCCCATATCCCCACACATACATAGCATCTCCACCATCAGTAGTCTGCCCAGAGTGGTACATTTGTTACAATCAACGAATTTATATTGACACGCATGCATACACTTTTAAAGTATTATGCAGAGTAGTTTCACTGACCTAAAAATTCCTTCCTCCAAGACTCTCTCCTTTCCAGTATATTAGAGTTGGAATTATACATGTGTAGTCTTTCAGATTGGTTTCTTTCACTTAGTAATCTGCATTTAAGGGTCCGCGATGTCTTTTCATGGCTTGGTAGCTCATTTAGTGCTGAATAGGATGATGTACCATGGTTTATTCATTTACCTACTGCAGGGCGTCTTGGTTGCTTCCAAGTTTTGGCAGTTGTGAATAAAGCTACTAATAAACATCTGAGGCAGGTTTTGTATGAACATAAGTTTTCTGCCCAACATTTTAAAACAAGTGAAATTGAAGGCAGATGAGCTTCAGAGGCAACCCAAAAGAGGAAAAAAAAAAAAAATCACAGAATATGTTGCCCGAGGGATGCTTCCCATTTAGTTTTGCTAGAATCCATCTTAATCAGAGAGGTTTTTCTCCAATCTCTCCTTGACACTGGCCTCAGAGAGATCTTGCTAAAATGCAGATTTTTGCATTTCACTTCCCATCTTACAAACTTTTAATAATTCTCTTTTGCCAATAGGATGAGTTTAATTTTTTCATACTGTCACAGTAGAATGTTCATGGTCTGATCCTAGCCAGTCTTTCTGGCCTCATCACCCAACACTTCCAATACTCACAATGCTCTGTGATGCCCATTACTTGTGCAGTTTCTTCTCTTTGAAATGTCTTTGTTCCAGTTATTTTGGCTGTATAACATATTGCCTTAGAAGTTTGTTGTGTAGAATAATCATTTATTGTGTTCATGGGTTCTCTGGGTCAGGAGTTAGGACAGAGCTCAGTGGGGTTGGCTTGTCTCCCATCTGGGAACTCAGGCTGGGGCAGGAATTGTTTGAAGGCCTGCACACTCACAGGTCTGGCAGTTGCTACTGGCTATTGACTGGGGCCCTCAGTGCCTCTCCACAGGGGCCTTTTTGTATGATCATTCCACATAGGCTGCTTTGGGTTTTCTCACAGCGTGGTGGCTGAGTTTCTAGGGTGAGCTTTTTAGGGAAGCAAGGACCCAGTGGAAGCTGAATACTCTTGGAAGTCATACTGTGGTGTTCCTTCCTATTCATCATGCAGTAACAAAGTCCTACCCAAGTTCAGGGGAGAAGAGATACAGACCTCTACCTCTCCATGGAGGATCTTCATGTCATATTGGATGAAAACCATGTTGCATAGGATGTATATTGATAGAGTCCTCTTTGGAAAATATATTCTTCCACCGAATATTAAGTGCTTGACAAAATCCTATTCAAACTGAAAGGTCCAGCAAAAATGTCATTACTACTATAAAATCTTTCTATACACTTATGTTTCCACAGGATTTTTCTCATACCTCTATTACAGAATTTATAAATTTATATCATAATTTTATAAGTTGTATTTACTTTATAATTATATAAGTTATAATTATATAGTTATACAATTATATATGTTATAATTATGTGGTTATATAATTATATAAATCAATAAGCAAATATACTCTTACTGTAATTATTTGAGTTAGTCTATCTGAGTTTAACCTCTTAATAATTTACGCAAAGCATCGCTTGGGCAGCATGTTTGTTTACACACTGATTATCCCTGGCATCACTTGGACAAATGTCATTTCAACCAGTTGATTCTTGTATTAAATAAATTTGATAAAAATGACATTTTTATATTTCCTGTTACATTAGCTTATGAAAATTAATGAAAAAATATCCAATTTTTGGTCGTTCTCTTTTTAAATAATTGGACTAATAAGTAGTTAAAGTACTTGTAAATGGTTTTAGATGGGGCAGTCAGTAGCGTTATCTCACAACACTTATTGATTAGTTGATTTTCTCTGTTGTCTTGAAATGACTTTTTAAGCTGTATCTTTAAAAGTATCTATTTAACAACTCTAGTCTGTTCTATTGATTGATTTTTCTTTTCCTACTCTAATTTTTTGCAACTTTAATAATAGTATACCACCATATTAATTTTCTATTTTACTTTATTTGTATTGTTAATGATCATTTAGTTACGTATTTCCATATTTTTACTATTATATAAACAACAATGAAGTAATGTCATTTTCCCCTTCTCAAATAAAGTAGACTTTTATTTATGTTCTTTTGTGATTTGATGCAGATTCTAAAATACATTATTCTGAATTTCTGTTGATAAATTCTGTCCAGTTCACTAAGTTATCCTGTCAACAGATGGTTCCGATTTCCAAGTTCTGATTTTGGCAACTTCAGCCCAAGGCAAAAATAAAGTAAGAAAGTTATTCTGGTACAGCATCTTCAGTTCTCCTTTTCTCTCTCATCTTTGTCTTCCTGCAAGCATGCAGCATCTGCTGGTCATACTGCAGCTGCAGTAGGTGGGACCTTACTTCTCACACACTCGATGCTTGCTTCACTGAGTCCACCCTTGCCTTCACCCAGAGGCCATTCTTTGAATTTTGTGCTCTTTCTTCTTTGCTTTTCTTTATAGTTTTTTACATATATTTTGTACTCTAAACAATATAGTTATTTCATAGGCTCTTGAACTTTATATGAATAGTCATTCTGAATTTTTCTGACCTTTTATCAATCGGTATCAATCAGAATCCACTTATGTGTGTATATGGTTGTCATTCATTTTCCCTACTGCATAGTATCTCGTTCCATGTATATATTTGTACACTATATTGTACAATACTGTCACCACCAAAACAGTGTTGTTTATGAACTTATATATTTATACAAGACTATTGCTTCTCAGTCTTTTCTTTTTTTTGGTACTGGGAATCAAACTCAGGACCTTGCCCTTCCCAGGCAGGCATGGCACCACTGAGCTAAATCCCAGGCCCACAAGACTGTTGCTTCTCAAGGACAAAAATTCCCTAGGATGTATATTTGGGAGCAAAATTACTATATGGTTAGATATGAGCAACTTTAAATTGGCCAGGTAATGCAATTGTTTTCCAAAGTTTTAGTTGGCCCAAGTCCTCACTAACCTTTGTTCTTGCATTTTTGAAAAGTTGCCAGTGGATGAAAATTGGTATCTTATTTGTTGAAATAAAATTAAGCATATTTTCATATGTTGAAACATTTCATAGGTATGACTCATTCATGTTTCCTCATCTGTGAAATGTCTGTGCATGTCTTTTGGCCATTTTTCCTCTTTGATTGTCTTTTTCTTAGTTGATTTATAGGAGTTTTTATTCTGGAGGCTAAGCATTCCATCTTGTAAGTTTTTTTCTACTTCATAACTGGTCTTTTCACTTCATATGGAGTTTTTGAATAACAGAAGTTCTGAATTTTAATGAGGTAGAATTTATTCTTTATGGTTTGTACTTATTTTTTAAATTTCTCCTTGTGCTGAGATCTTGAAAATGATTCTATATAGGATAAAAGTTTTATAGTTTTGTTTTCCACAATTAAATCTTCAATGCAGAATTGATTTTGGTGAATGATTAAGGTAGGAGTCAAATTTTACTTCTATATAGGTGGCCAGCTGTCCCAGCATTATTTATTGAAAAGTCTGTCCTTCCCCCAGTGAGCTGCAATGCCATCTGTGTGCTAAACCAATGCACACATGAGCATAGATCTGTTTCTGAGCGCTCTATTCTGTTCCATCAGTTGCATGATTATATCCCTGCACCAATAAATAGTTTCAGACACTTTACCTCTGTAATAATTGTTGATGACTTTTTCTTCATCAGGAG